TCTCCATATCATGAAGCTTATTGTCAATGTAAGTTTTAATGTCTACATTCAATTCAGTATGCTCTTTGTTATATTGTCCCACCTCTTTTCCATGACTTTCTTTAACATTTTTGTTTATTGATGAGTTAACTATGTTCTTGTAACATGATTGTATACCAACCGGAGCATTATCTTCATCATTAAAAGGTAGTTTAGTTAGGAATTGTTTTATGATTTCAGGATTAAAAATGAGTGGAGACGATGTTTTAGACTCAGCAATGGGTTCTGTTATATACAGCATTATGCCATATATCCACATAATTGAATCTTTGCTCTTTGTTTTTGTGAACTAAAACATTCTAAGTTAATCAATATGTTCACAGAGAACTTTAGATTTCATTGTAAAAAATTCGTATACCTTTATACTAGCTTCAGAAGTAGGTGGGCTAAATTTTGTTTCTGCAAAATAAACAAAATTATCTTCAAACTCATCTACAAGGTCTGCAAATACTGTTGTTTGGTACTCTCCACATAGTTTGAAAAATTCTAAAACATGGCCTTCTGAAACCGTGGCAATATGAGATATTTTTTGATGGTTTGGTAACTTTATTTCCAACATACATGGCTCATTAGAAGATTGCGTTGGTTCTAAAGAGATGCATGTACCTAGGCTGACTATTTCATCGATATTGACGCTGTAAACATAGTCATAACAATCTTTTAATGTTCAGTACAATATTACAACAATAAATTATTAAAAACCAAAATATTAATTACTTTTCTTGTTTTTGAGAAGAAACTGTCAGAGTAAAAACATCTCGCCACGTTTTGTTGTTAGTGATTCGCCAATTACAAGAAGCTGTCAGATACTCTTTACTTAACTGCTTTGTTTTAGTTGCTAAAAAATTATCAACTTCTTGATTATTTGAAAGTTCCATTATATTTACTATCTATTCCACTATACGAGTAAGTTCTATTAACAAACAATAAAATTTCTGTTTTTTATATTCACTAAAGAGGAAATCTTTGTTTTCATACCTATTACAATATGCTACAAATATTGAACCACAGATGAGATGAACACTTTGTGTTTATTTGTTACTATCAAATAGAATCTACTTAGTAGATACAGGTTATTTTGCTTCTGCTTAGTAAATAAAAAAATCTAATCAAATATACTAACATCTGTAAAGATGTATTATATATGTATTTAAGGCGTCCTTTAATGAAAGAATAGTGTTTACAGTTTGGATGAAAGTACATCTGTAATTAGCTGATCTGAAATATGCTGCAAAGTGCAGACTTAGAGTATATTGTAATTTTTAATATTAAAAATTTATGGAATAATTTTTCACTTTATCTTAATAATTCTATAACGGTTTTTATATGTAGTAAGGAGTTCCGTGGATGAGCGAGTAGGTCGATGGGTTATAATGCGAGAGGGAGGACACGGGTTCAAGTCCTGTGGGATTCTCAAAATCCTAAATCTATAATCAATACTCTCGTCTGTGATTAAGGAACTTAATTTAATTCACAAATTCAGTGGATATTGCACTTCCTTAAGTAAGATGGTACGGAGTCCTCTTACTTTTGCAAATATTAGGAATCCTCGAATGCGCGCCTTTTGTGCTTTTTGTGCATGTGTCTTGTAATAAGGTCTAAGAGTCCACAGCTAATCGTGCCACTTGTGGCGAAAAGAAGAAGCTTCTCAGACCTCCGTACAGTACCAATTCACGTAGTGACAAAACGCACAAACCATTAGTCAAAATCAGCTGTTGATAATTTTGCCTACAAGTTTCAACGTTTTGCCACTGCATGAACTAGTGCTATGTGCATTTGAAGACGGCAGAATATCCATGCCGAATTTGATATTATTGCTTATGGGAAAAAATGTTGAAATATGGAATGGAAAATTATTCATAATCGATTAATCATTAATACAATCGATTAATTAATACGCAAAACATTATTATAGATACAATGCTAGGAATCTTTACTAGATTTTCCAACAATAAAAGTGAAAAGAAATTTCGAGATCGTCTTAACAAATTAATTAATATTAATATTAAGAGATTACTTCGAATCGGCTTTATAATTATTCTCGTAAAAATTTTCGAATCTTCAGAACCTCAATTTAAAGTTAGGGGAAGTATCTCAATATAGAAAGGTTTAGTTTAAAAAATAAATGTGATAGCATAATACTAGAAGTATAGTATTTCTATGCATATTAATTAAACATATTAAATAATTATAAATATATTAAATGAAGATAACGAGTAGAATTATGCTTTTCCAATAAATACAAGTTTAAATTAGGATTTATGAGGATCAGAATGACTGGTTCCATCATATTAAGACTCTCACGAGACGTGTTGAACATAAAGAATAGTAAGTACGCGGCCAAGAACGCTAACAAACATAAAAGGAAGGAAATATTACCACAGAATGTTCCGTGTAATCTCCAGTACAAAGCCCATATTTCCCGAGATAAATGGTTAAAATTATCTTATCGCGTCTGCAATTATTTTTACGCGATACTAATTTAGTTAAGACACGGATAGAAATGTTATTACACGTGGTAAAGCGAAGCGAGATCGTGAGATGGTGCAAATGAAATAGAAGGTTACACGCATAGAACTTCGTTTACGAGAATCGGCTTATGGTGGTTATTTTTTGGTTATATAATAAAATGCCTGGAAAGGAGAGGAATGTGGATAGCGCATGGATATGTCATAACTTGAAGATTAGAGGGGAAATGGAGCTTCCCGATCAAATCACCCCTTCACTTAAGGTGTAACATTTATATCATCGGAGAGATGCTAATATTGTAACTTCCGAGAAAATGAGAAGAAAATAATTATTTTGTAGCGAACAAATACAATATAAATTAAGCAGTTTATTTCTGAATTACATCCGCATAAATTTCACTCTACGATAATATATGATAACGGGTATTTGTGGAGGTAAACGAAATGACTATGAATAAATTATTTTGAAGAGATTATACAAAACCTCACGAAGAGATCGCTGGAACACAGTTCAGAGACCTCTGATCCAAATGTAATCGGAGAACGATTTTCGAAGTTATGTATTAGGATTTATAGAAACCGTTTGCCAATTAAACTGTAATTGGTGGTTGAGTAACTCTGTGTTCTTCTAATTCAGAGCAAGAAGGGTTCCCCGTTATTGTCCAACAAAGGCAGGGACCGGCAAACGAGATTCAGATGGCACGGTAAGCGCATAGAAGCACTTTCTTGGCGCGCATCGGATTCCAGATCGGCGTTTGCACATTCTGAAAATCGAAAAAATGCGAATGCTCGAGATCGCGGCTTGTGTGTTGGTTATTAGAACTCTGTGTTCCTAAAACGGGGTCATGCGTGGGTGAACGAACTTGATGTGCGGGAGAAGGGGAGAGAAATCTACAAACGGGAAATCAGAGTAGCTCGTCTCCATTTGCGTAACACCGGTGTGTTAAAATGCATCATCGGAATACATTTCTCTCACATGCGCCGTGTTCGAGTCGCATCGAACGATCACAATGCGTTTGCCGGAGCGGGATGCATTTCTCTGCTCCAAAATATCGTGCCTGGTAATCAGCCGCTATTGTTACCAGCGCCGCGTCGTCGCAAACAAAGGATGTCGTAAACTAAACTGGTAATTACGACTCTCACAATTAACCAAAAAAATTGAACAGCAGATAGAAGTAATAATTCCACGATGCTTATTGCCCGAAAGCTTTGCGGGCCAAGGAAAGAAAACTGTGCGTTGGACGGATCGAATATGTCTATCTTCTCACACGCTTTATCTCCGCGTTCATCATAGTTCATTTGATTGTACGTACTTCCTAGTTTCACTGGATCGTGGCAATCCCTCGCCAAATCGGGCGTACCGAGACTTCTTTCGCGAATCTTTTTGCTGCATCGCAGAATAAAAACGATTTCTGTTTATTCTTGTCCAAACCAAAATGGATACCGGACTTCCGCTCGACGGGTTCCGGAGTTTCATACTGTTTTAGGAGCGGAACCGTTGACCATAAGAGTTTCGTCGTTTGTTGGACAGATTGGACAATAGGAGAAGTTCCCAGGAGGCGGTAGCATGGTTTAAACCGGACACAGTGTAATGCTAGTTTACGATGGATAAGTATAAATTATGGGCTCGTGGCTCGTTGTTGCATACATGTACTTGCACTTTTTGTTTTAACATAATCTTCGTTCTGAGAGGCAAAGACGCTGAAATTGAAAGAATGTGACACGAAACTGATATAAAATGAAATAAATTGAACAGAACCTCAGCCGGCCAGGCTTCTTGGATACGTTTCGTCAGGAACGGCAAAGGTGTCGATGACGAAAACGATCTCATTATACCCTGCGAGCAACGCAACGCCCGTATTACACACTGAGGGAATCGCTCAGTTTAATAGCATCGTTCAGTCCGTGCTTGCCACCGATTTTGCAATGCAATTAGGCAGGACTATGAGAAACACTGCTTCAATAGTTTTAATTAATTGCCGTCACTTTTAATAATTATATACCTGGGTAACAGTAAATGATAACATCGGAATTATGACAGCTGAAAATGATATTCCCTTCGATGGTATTTATATTATAGTCAGGAAATTTCGAATGATACAAGCTTACATTTTTGTTATGCTTATTTGTTGTTTAGTTAATCTGGACGTTGTTTGAATCGATCACATTAATTTTTTTGTTCAATAATGTTCACAAGACAGCAACACGGGTTTGAAAGATATTGAGTTTCTTCAATAATTAGGCAACAACGTTTCCATTCACGTTTTATTCCTTTTTAAATGGTTAAAACGGTATGAAATTCTGGCCATCAGTAGCGAAAGCTGTGTATGTGTTTACTGCTGAATAAAGAAATTGTTTCAGAAGATAGGAAAACGGTTTCGAAACTGGTTAAACGGTAATCACACGGTAGCAGGATAATGCTTGAAAAAAAATCTGGATATAGATGCTCGAGTTTCGTAACTTGCTACGCGTGCTGTATTGGATTCTGCGCCGATTTACGAGATCGTGATTCCTTTATGGCACGATCACGAGCTCCGGACAAGTATTAATTTACCAGTGTGTCGATGATATTATCAATAAGTCGCTACTAGTCTCTCAGTTTCGATAGAAAATATAGAAGCTCCGGTTTTCAGTCTTCTTTTGCTAAATATTCAGGTCGTATCCTTGTGCGTGTATATACTTTATGAATAAAATTTGTTGTAAAAACGAAATACTTTTCTGCGAATTCAATGAGCAGTGATCATTTAAATTCCCCAGACTGCAGATTTCATGCAATTATGACAATAATGAACGGATGACATTTTAAACAGTAGAAAGATTAAAAGAATTTATAGAAGCTTTTATTTTGCTTCTATTTCTCGGAAAATGTCCATTTTGCAGAAATATTTGCAGTTCACTAATTAAAGAATGAAATTAGACTAAACTTAAGTGAAAGTTTAAGTAGAGAATTAAATAATACGCAGAATGACACGTTTTCTTTATAGATGAAACTAACGATCATGGATCACCTAACCGCCGTGTAATGTTACCAATATGTCCCTGTCTGAATGATTGAGTACTTAGTTTACGGGTCATTACGCAATCAAATATCCATATCACATTCGGGGACCGCCTCTGACTCGAAAATCACAGTACCGTGAGAAATTGTCACAAAAGAAAAAGATTGACAGTGAATTCTCGCGTACTAGAAAAATGTCCGTAGGTTTAATAAACCATGTAATACCAATCGTTACACATCATGCATATTCAATGATTCATCAATATTATCACTCTGTTGCAGCAGTTACCAATCATTTGCTTTTTCTCACGTAGCTGTTAATATCTCAAGACGCCTTTTTTTATCGAATACATTATTTCTTAGTAAATCTAGTTCCAAATTGCACTAATTTTCACTAGATAAATCTAGTCACCGTAAATCGTAGTTTCTATAAATTAGTTTGCAAAGATTTACATTTACATAAACATTATCGTCTAGTCATTGAATACAAAATATAAATTATTTCATTCCACGATTTATTTTAGATAAATTCAGTGTAAAATTAATTTGACTTGCCACTTTTGCACGATTGAACTAAACATTTAATAAATTTTCAGAAAACATAATTAAGTTACTCACACCAAAATAAAAACCTAGATAAAATCGGACGTTTTATTTTCTTTATACCTTACGTAAATTTTTAACGAAAGAATTAATTTGCTTTGCATTTATAGATCAAATTAATATGATGCGTAACACTTTGCGAACAATGATAAAGAAGCGATGAATCCTCAATTTCCTTGAGATTCGGAATCTTGAGGACAATCGCGAGACGCTCGTTTACGTTAAACAACAACCAAATCGATCAATTATTATTGATCTATCCCATGATCCGTTGGAAGTTCTCACAGTCGCAGACACAAAAAAGATGTAATTTAGGAAAAAGAGAAGAGTGGAGAGAGAGAAGATGCAGAGAACTATCTTAGCCCAGCAGTGAAAGTGTTTTGAGCTCGAATCACGTGCTTCAGTTTCCTCAGGTATATCACCAGGTGAACTCTCACCGAGGGGTTCAGTATCGTCTTCACCATCCTTCAACTTCCTGACTCGGCTTCCATGTTCGAAGTTACCGTCTATTAATGCAATAATTGAGTCAAGTCCGCGTGAAATTGCCGTTAATCAACGCAATATTTTTCCATTATTTTTAGCGAACAGTTTTGTGTCTTGTGCTGATACTCGTGCAAATTTCCAAAAATGAAATGAACCAGTGAGTGATTGTTTAGGAGTTCTATGCCGCTCCCTTCTATTGGTTTGTACTAGTTCCTTTTATATTTGTCGCTTTTATTCCGTGCAAAATGGCGGTGCTAGGCTTAACGAAAATATAAGTATATTTATCCGTAAACGAGGAAAGTGTTATTAGTGTGACACATTATGTTGTTGGAATAACGTGTGAATTTAAATTACGAAATATTTGAAGCTACTACAATGATTACATTGTACACAGTAATGTAAATACAGAGACATATTAAATGGGAGCACCTTTTGGATGTAAAAATCTGCAGAACGTTCGAAATTATAATTTTTGACATAAAGTACGTACTCTGACGAAACAATAAACAAGTTTTCCAGCCTAATTATGCTATGGAGGTGAAAAAAGTAAGATTGTTACGCTGTGACATACATTCATTATGGTTTGTTACGTCCACACAATACTGTAGCGTTCTCTCGTTCATTTCTAGTTCAAACACAATGACAGTAATTAAGTAACAGTAGAGCAATATTTGCAGACAGTCCGACAAACTTTTTTCGTGCTTTATTAGTTGCGTAAGCGTTAAGGGATATTCGTAGCATCCTCTTGCGCCACAATTTCTAATATAGCAGATCAGATCAGTAAAACATTATAACATGAGAAATGTATAATCATCGATGAGAATGCATTTTATTTTATGCACTTTTTAATAGACACTGCTAATAATTATTATTCTGTTACGTTATGTTCAATAATACCTTTACATCAGTATCGTAAACAGTTAAATATTATACGTCAGAAATTTTGTTGCGGACATTATGTAATTGAAAAGAGAGGCTGTCTTGTAAATCATTTTTTGTTTTGCTTCTTCTTACGACTAGTTTGCGGATATCGACCACATGGCAAAAACGAGCACATACATATACACATAGCACCAAGAAGTAAACACTAGTGAAAAATTTAAGAATACTTTTTCATTGACACGTTTTCTACCAGCGTCACACATGTATGACGACCACGATTTTGTATTTCCCGTAAAGAACGTCAAATTAATTTTGTGAATATAATTATTTAAAATTTCAACACACAGCATGATATTTAGAGAATTTATAGTTACTGATATTGGTAGCGAACGTGTTAAAATAATTGGAGAAGGAAGTCACTTGTCTAGCATTAATCTCATGCAACTGATGCAAAACATTTCCATCTTCGACAAGATCCGTAGCGTACGCCTGCACGATAGTTACGCCTCAAATATTAACCATCCTAAGCAGTTCTATTGGGAAGTAAAAGGCATCCCATCCTCACGTTCCTAGTTCCGGATGATTAGCTGTTGCTTATATAAAGCTTTCATCCTATATGATCACCGATCGAGCAAACTTCTTCGCAATTTGTATAATGTCCTTACACAATCTAGTAATAAAACTATACAACACTCTAATGAATGTCCCGGTAATAAAAGGGTATGATACAATTATCTATCTGGCAAAGTTCTTCACTATTTTTATGATATCCTTACGTAATCCTTACGTAAAGGTATTTTGAACAAATAAATGCAAATAGTGCGCATTGTACTAGTAGACAAAGAATATATGATAATAACTACAAAAGAACATATTCGATATATACTTAATCCAAAAGAATGTTTAAAAATGACGTCCATGATTTTCGTCCAATGTGATTAAATCCTTTACAAAGATCAACAAACTTTAAAGCTGCTTTTCTCGAAAACGGTGCCCTGGATAAAAAAAATGTTATACCAAATTTTGTTCTTATTTTTTTTTCGTAGAATCATTCCCGCCTCCAATCCTTCCAGCTCGATTGTACTACGTATTCCGACTCACCCGGTATATATGTTCTATAGACAAGAAAAAAACTTGTTTTATTGAATACTAATCTATAGGAAAAAAAAATGATCACAAAATGGAAAAAGTCGTCAGTAGACTACCGATCTTTCTATAGATGCAAATGTTTAGAATAGAATAAATAGAATAGAATAAAGAATAGAATAAATAGAATAGAATAAATAGAATAGAATAAATAGAATAGAATAAAGAATAGAATAGAATAAATAGAATAGAATAAAGAATAGAATAGAATAAATAGAATAGAATAAAGAATAGAATAGAATAAATAGAATAGAATAAAGAATAGAATAGAATAAATAGAATAGAATAAAGAATAGAATAGAATAAATAGAATAGAATAAAGAATAGAATAGAATAAATAGAATAGAATAAAGAATAGAATAGAATAAATAGAATAGAATAAAGAATAGAATAGAATAAATAGAATAGAATAAAGAATAGAATAGAATAAATAGAATAGAATAAAGAATAGAATAGAATAAATAGAATAGAATAAAGAATAGAATAGAATAAATAGAATAGAATAAAGAATAGAATAGAATAAATAGAATAGAATAAAGAATAGAATAGAATAAATAGAATAGAATAAAGAATAGAATAGAATAAATAGAATAGAATAAAGAATAGAATAGAATAAATAGAATAGAATAAAGAATAGAATAGAATAAATAGAATAGAATAAAGAATAGAATAGAATAAATAGAATAGAATAAAGAATAGAATAGAATAAATAGAATAGAATAAATAGTAGAATAGAATAAATAGAATAGAATAAAGAATAGAATAGAATAAATAGAATAGAATAAAGAATAGAATAGAATAAATAGAATAGAATAAAGAATAGAATAGAATAAATAGAATAGAATAAAGAATAGAATAGAATAAATAGAATAGAATAAAGAATAGAATAGAATAAATAGAATAGAATAAAGAATAGAATAGAATAAATAGAATAGAATAAAGAATAGAATAGAATAAATAGAATAGAATAAAGAATAGAATAGAATAGAATAAAGAATAGAATAGAATAAATAGAATAGAATAAAGAATAGAATAGAATAAATAGAATAGAATAAAGAATAGAATAGAAAAATGTACGCATACAAAACGTCTTCATGTTTGTGATTTCACCACATACCAACGTACAGAAAAAATTGGTCTTCCCATACTTTTCTGTATCGAATTATATAAAATAAAAAATGCTAGAAATATATGAAATTCGCAGTTCAATCTTAATAAGTCGATAAACGTTAATCGCAGCGGCGCGCATCAACGAAACTAAAAACGTTCGATTTCATGGTGAAAATGTTTGTCCTGCATGTTCGCTTCCCTAGCTAAATTCTCGCAAACAGATCTCCGTGGGTCAAAGATCCCGTGTTCTGTCGTGTTGGATGTTGGATGTTCTCTGCTCTAATGGAAATCGCGTTACGAAAGTTCCTTTGCAAAATCCCGCCGCGCTATATGGAGTATCGTCGATTGCATTGGATCGGGAGAGGAAGATCCACGTTGACTCGCGCAAAGTAAATGGAACAGAGGCTTACCTACCGCAGAGGGGGAGATTGCGACAGGCTCGCTCGGGGGATGTAATTAGAACAAGGCTGTGGGACTGCACGAACCGAGTGTTCCGATAACAAATACCGGATACAGGAACGTTCGTTACTCGTTCGCGAATGACTCAGGCCAAGCATTTCTGATCGACAGTTAAATCCAGTCGATCGGCCTACAACCAGAAGCTTAGTCAGACTATTCGATCAAGATATCTCGAAAATTAATACGGGAATGTTCAACCCCTGAAACTCTCTGAAACGAATAGAGGATTCCCACATTCCTACGTAGGAGGCCGGCGTTTGCTAACTCCGTTTGTAGGCGCCGTGACACGCATGAGAACGCTGATTAACTCCAGAATGTAGTATTATTAAGACTAACAATGAAATGGTTGAGTGGCGCTACCTCCGCTTGTAGGAAAATGATCGTACGCATTACACGAGCAATCATCTTGTTCATCTATTACACCAAATAAACACCGGGATTAGGTGGACATCAATTGCATGACATCGGGGGAATTGCTTCATTTCTTGGGAAATTCTGTTCATATTATCGATCGATTCCTTTCGAAAACTGCGTATTTTATATACACTTATGACGGAAGACAATTGTTACATTATTTTCAATTCATTGAAATCATTGAGAAATACATTTTTATGTAATCATTGTTTTGTACAACTAATACTGAAAATTAATTAATGTGGAATGGCTATTGGTTGAGAATATTAATTATAATAAAAGGTGTAGGTGTGTACATAGGAAATAGTGGATAATGTTGGAATAAGTGGATTACTAAATATATTGTAAAAGTTGCGAATAAAATGACCCTCAACTCTATTGAGGAGTTGTTTGTTTTACATTGTAACATACCATAATGTTTTACATTGCATTTCTTTTGCATGCACTAAAAAGTGTTCATTATACATATTTTAGAAAGCCGGATGAATAGGAGGAATGTTTCGAAACACGTCGATATAGGAGATCAACAGACCTGTTCTTATAATGAAGAAAATTGAAAACAGATGCTGGTCTTGTTTGGCATTGATTGCAATATCGCTGACAGCATGCGTCAATGCAGAAAAGGTGAAATATCAGGCTACGTGTTAAAGCTCGTATGATGAAATATGAAATACGTATGAAATGCGTATATGCAATGGACTATAAAAGCAATTATAACACGATCACAATTGAATCATACGCAACTATTTAACAGGCATAAATGTTTCGTTGCAGCAAAAACGTCAAATATTCAGGGAACAAGTTTTGCCAGCATTGGGAGGCAAAATTCCAGAAGAAGCATTTAGAACCGATCGGTTGGCGTTAAATCGGTTAAACAAAGAAGGTATCACCGTACCTGATGGCGTATTATTAGACCATCGACATGTCCACAAACACATGCAACACGTTCAAACTGTGCCTGAATCGATAAAGGTATATATTGAAAGCTATTTTGTCGCATAACGTTTAACACTAAACTTACCATGGTCGATCGAAATGATCGATCTCTGATATCTTTTTATTTTCAAATTGTTAAAATTACGAAGATTGTTTCTTAAGAAACGATTAAACGAATTGCTTTATCCAAGCTTGCACTATAACAAAAATGACGAAAAGTCTCAAAGTTTCACAGTTTCGTGAGTTCAGTGTTAAAATTGTATTTCAGATTTTCTTTTCTGCTTCCATACTATCGTACGCTTTAATTACAATTGTGCAATATCATATTTACTCATCAATATTACATAAATGAATTAATACGCTTTAAGAAGTTTTTATTTGACAGTCATGTACTATTTTTACCCTGCAGTATGGATATGTGATTTCGTGATTTAGTAGAAGTGACTACAACATGGAAATTTCATTTTTCAAGGTATATTTGAGACCGGACGGTCGATACGTGCCACCAGAAGGACGATTTCAGTACAATCATGCGAAGACGATCGACACGACATACGTTATTCGTACGCCTCATACGCAATCTGATGGCCGCGGCTACAGTCATAAGCGTCCTAACAACATTAACGGCAATAAACATCGGGACTACCCGAAATTACAGGGTTATACGAGTTTCAGACAATTAGCCCCTATAATGGTACCCACATCGCCTGGAATCTACACACCGATTGTGACGCCTTTAGTGTTACCTGGCAACACCGACTTATTAGACGACGCTTACATACCTAGTTGGGACATTCATTATGATTGGGATACCGTTTACCAGCCTCTGGATGATTATTTCGTCGACAATATTGCACTTTTTAATTCGCATCAGGTACATTTCCAACGCAATACCACCACATATTATATATTCATCAAACATCTATGAAACAAATATTTTATTCGCCAAGAAGTGTAAACCAAGCAGCGACAATTTTGTTTAAACTGAATTAGGATGGAAATTAAGATTGAAGAAAGTTAAATTTTATAACATCAATTACAGTTTCAACGTTCTTACGTTTCAAATAATTATTCATTCTCAAATAATCGGCAAATGTTTGAGTGTTAAGTGTTCATTCACTGGACACAGGTAATTTCAAGGTGTTGACGATATCGAATGTGCATAGAAAGTGCAAGGCTGCGCAGCGGCTGCGAAAGAATATTAAATGATACGTCTGTCCGAACGGACGCGAGTGGAAGACCACAGGCCGGGCGAGAAAAACGCGTGTCGACACACGAGACTCCAGTTTGCAGAGCTCGCTTATGCGGACCGCAATTTTCTAGGATTACCGACTGTGAGAAAAGATAGGTCGTCCAGCTCTACTGTTCCCAGGACGCGAATGAAAGTGCAACCGGGAGCGCACTTGCTACTTGCACGCTCGCCTGCACCCGCAGTATGCAGATCGCACGCAGAACCGCCGATAGAAGCGTTCTGCGCCGCTACGCCTTTTCCTTTCTTCATGGAATTCATCCGTGAGCATCTGTCACGCCATGAAAAATGTTGCGTCACCGCACGTGGTTTCGCTGATGCATCTAAATGATAGCACGCCTTCGGACGGCGGCCTCCGCTTAATTTTTCTTTCTCGCGGATTCTGGATCCCGAGTTTCTCGGACCGAGAAATTCGGTCATTAACCCGTTGACCGGCAATTTTTTAATTCTGGGCTCCCGGAGAGACGTAGCGTGAGGCAAATGAAATTTACGTAACAATTGCTATATCGGGAGATACGCGAGTCAAGCATAGTTTGTGTAAATGTGGACTCCGTGAGGCAATGAAGAAACAGAATTAGAAAGAATTCAGGAGAAACGAAAAAATAAATGAATGAAAATATAATTTCTTAACGATTGATAAACACGATTGAAGTGTTGCTCATTTAATAATTGCTGAATTAGTAATGTTTAAGGTGGAAATCTACGCGGATCGAGTTGTTTGTACAAATATGAGCTCCATGAGGCAATGGAGAGACATAATTATTGAATGAATGTAGAAGAACTAAAATTAATTAATATAGAATATAAATTTAATTCCTTAATGGCTGAATAACTCGATTGAAATGTTGGTCGTTCAATAGTTACTAAATTAATAATGTTTAAAATTGGAATTTTATAATGAGACTATTTGTAAAATTTTTTGACGACTTCGACACTTTTTATGAAAGGTGATAAAATATTGTTTATGTGCAGATTATCACCGACTATCAAGGATTTCTGAACAAGTTTCACGAGCGATCCTCGAGGCACGTTCCAGCTCGTTCGACGAAGTCAAATCAAAACACTTACCCGAGAAATAGGAAACATGAATCGAGAAATATTGGCACTAACTCGCAAGCAACAGCCTATCAGAATGTTCGATTCAATGTTGACAGTACGGTTTCTCGGTATACGAACCTTACTGCCATTCCGGAAACTAGTTTCACTTGTAATGGTAGAAGGGGTCTGATCGCCGACGTTGAAACTTATTGCCAAGTTAGTTTGTATATGACAACAAATATAAAAATTAAATACCGTGAAGTTATTGAATATTTATCACACTAATTTTTTTAGGTTTTCTACAACTGTTCCGGTTGGTCGAAAATTGCTACCCTGTGCCCTGCAGGTACTGCGTTCAGTGATGTGAAAAAACGTTGTGAATGGTGGAGTACGGTACAATGTAAACGACAAGGTCAATAAACTATAATGATCGAATGTACGAAGAAGCTGTAAAGATGGTAGCAGTAGGTATAATATCGATAGGTCTAAGTTACATACATATATATATATATATATATATATATATATATATATATATGATCGCTTTAACTTAAATGATTAACTAACTCACCGAGAAGCTAAAGCATTTAACATATCAATATGAGACAGACGTGTAGATTGTTTAAATTAATATATGACAGAACAATTATAATAGACCTCTTGCCATTATTTTGACGTTCACTGGTGTCATACTACCATATTAGAATAATACGTTATATAATCTTAATATCTCATTACAAATTAATTGGAAACGTTGAGACAGAAAATTGTTACAGTCACATATATTTGCAAGAGTATAACACTACATGATATTTCTAATTCGTGGGAAATAGAGTGTGTTTAAAAAAATGTATTAAAACATTCTGTTATATTTTATTTATAAAATATGCACGTACTACATACGCAGCATAACTTATTAATTGTCGTTTCACTGTTAATGTGTATTTTTTTAATCAATAGAATTAGAATTAAGTATTTTAATAAATTTATATACCTTTAAAGCCCCCCTCCCGTAGGAAAAAAGTTCCTACTATGCGTCATGATGCTCATAGAATTTTATGAAAAATTTTCGTAACAACCGTATAATATTATCTATGCATAAAAATATTTATATACACAAGTTAACACTTACATATAGTTCCCTTCACATGTATTAGTAAGTTTGGTCATAATAAATGCGCACATAATACTTAGCACATATTTTATAATATTAATAAATAAAGTGTCAGATGAAATGCATTCTCAACTAGGCCGCGCGGAATGTATAAAAACTTTATTGTGAGCTTTTCGACAAATACTCAACAGTCCTTTCTTATACTAAAAGTTTCGATATCCCTTGACAGATCTAAGATCGACATCAATGAATGTACAATAAATGCATTTGAACTACTGTTTATATTTAGTGTTCCAAAAATATGGCACCATATCGTGTCTGAAAAGTTCTTTAACGAAACTTTTCAATTTTCATTCCTGTGAAGAATATGCATGTTCCAGGTGGTCTTATATTTTTAAAACACCATTTGCGTCAACAATTCAATAGTTCGCATTGATAGTAGATCTCGCATTCTGGAAGTAAAGGAATTTACAGCACCACGATCCTCATGTTTTTCTGCGGCTCTTCCTTCTTTTTCTTTGGCAGATAAGGATTCTTTTCTGGATCCAAATTTAAACTGAAATTAATTAAGGACAATTTATGTACAATTTTTTTCATAAAGTCTTCCATCCGGAGGTAAGCAATTTTTAATAAATAATAGTAGTTTTTTAAATAATTATAGTAATAATAATAGTAATTTAATAATAATAGTAAATAATA